TCCAGGCTGTGCAGGCATGAGTGAAGGGTAGATTCCCACAAATCCCCAGAAGAAGTCCTGTGGGAAAAGCATGAGCTTCCCGGTGTAAATAAAGTGGGGTGCTATCAAGCCCTGGGAAACAGCTCTAGTGACAAAAAAAAAAAAGGTGCAAGGATGGGGGTACAGTAGACCCCAGGGGAACAACACTGCTTCAGCACTGTGGGAACCTCAGTACCTTCTAAAGGCTAACAGAACGGAGAAGATTATAGGGAAACGATTGCAAAATTAATACCTATTGGAAAGCCCTTTACAAAAATAAAGTGAACGGAATTCAAAATGGCCTGAGAATGGTTAATAGATTTTTGCTTTTATTTAAAAAGCATAGTGGTTACACCACCCCCATCCCCAATTTGTATGGTATTGGCCTGTGTTCATAAGTGTATCCACTATGCACAGGGAAGGGACAGTCTCTCTCACATTTCCATACACCCATATAGTTCTAGTTTTCTGTTTATTGCCCTTGGGGCAAATTTGTTCAAAAAGAACACAAGGGAAATCACCACAATGGCTCCTCATTCCAACGCCTCTGAAAACTAAAACAGCAGTTTAGAAATCTGTCAGGGTAAAACGGGCACATGTTTTAAAACTGTCACGCCGCAAGGCTGCTGCTGGCATGTCAATCTGGAATATGTATATATTCTTATAATGTAAGAGCCAATCATACAAGGACAATAAAACAAAATGCAAAGGGGGGGTGAGGGGGACCCAAAGGTACTGTCTTTCCTTTCTTAAACCAACTCAAACACCTAGTATGGCAACGGCAGAGTCATTTAAATCATTTCCTTAGTAATACAAGTAATATTTAAATAGATTTAGTAGTGCTGCTCCAAACCGATGAATTATGGGTTTAAAACCTATTAAAATGTAATGTTTTTTTCCTGAGCTGAGAGGAGAGAGATTTAAATCCACTGAATTTTAATATTTCAGCTTGAGCTGCAGGAGGTAGAGAAAGTCCAAATGAACTATTCCATCAGCACCATTCAAGCATGAACATTTTAATCAGTTTTACTTCCTTGGAGTTCTCTAACACAGTTTACGCTGTCATTCTGAAAGCACTTAACACAGAGAGTGTGAAAAACCACCAAGGCTTGTTATTGCCTTCACAATTGATGGCAAATAATTTCGCAGACTTCCTATCATTAAAATGTCACTGCTAAAAACTGAGGTTCAGCATTTCTTGTGCTAAACTGCATTTCCCTGGAACATTTTGGCATACCTGTTCTGAAGGGGCTTTCTGGAAAGGGGTCTTTTTAAAGAAAAATACACACACTTCTATCATTTTTCCCCCCTCAGAGTTAGGGCTAAGAAGGAAAGAAAACCAATCCAATAATAATAAGCCACCACATCTTCTATTTTTACAAGCCAAACATTTTCTTTTTCCATGTTCATACTAATATAACTTTTTTCTTAATGGGAGTTTCTCTGGTGAAATTCTTATGCGGTTCCAAGTCAGCCTCCTTTATTAAGCATAACCACATTCACACAGCATGTGCTGATTACATAGTGTCATGGATTTAAAAGCATTTTAAGATAGTCAGATGACTCAATTTAATAATACAGGAAATGAAAACATCATTTCTAATTAGATCATATTACTGATTTAAAACTACAATTTGTGTGTTGTTCCAACAGCATGATTTTGGAGAGATTCTAATTTAAAAACACAGTGGCTGGTAGGGGCACCTGACAAGATCAAACCAGAGACGTAACAGTTCCACAGCCCACATGAATCACTCAGGGAGAGCTCTGGCAAACATGAACTACAACCAGTTCTAAACAAAAAACCTTTTCCTGATTTGTGTGTGTGGTGGTGGTATTGCTGTTGTTGTTCCTTATAAATAAAAGATAAATGATGTTTAACTTATTTCAATCTATCAACAGTTTTAAACTGAACATGACCTGTGAAAGAAATCATTATAACTGTTTCATTCCATTAAACACAACTAGCTTATTGTCAAGAGAACAAGCCGCCTCTCTAGGTTTCAGGCTCACTTCAGCATTTTGCATTTAAACTGCATGGATCACTGGCTTGGCTCATTTACCAATGAAGGTAGAATAATATTGCAGAGTTAAAAAGGTGCTTCATCAGATTTCATTAAATCCGGGAACATTTGTGCTTGTCTGGGTGGTATACATACATATAAAACAGATACACACCAAGAGGTACATAAACCAAGGTCTGTAGGGGCTTAGCTAGAGGCTCTGCCTCTCTGGAGAAATATTTTCATTCCCTCAACACAGGAAAAGGAAAGTCACTGCCGACTACAATCTAAAAATCAAGCACCAGAATTCTAAAACGGGGTCCCCTCATCATCTTTGGTAGTCAACTCAGGATCCGGCCAAGGCCAAGGGACACACACTAATCAGGCCCACAGGTCAACCCATGTATTTACAATTCCACACGGTGGGATCTCTGAAAACTCCTGGGCTCAAGGTCCTAGCCCAGGGCTGAAAAAGGCAAAGGGAGACAACAAGAGCAGCGTAACGCTTGTAATCAAATGAGCTTGTCACTGGGTCTGTGATTCCCTACAACAACTGGGCTTGTTTTCCTGTTCCTGAAAAAAATCTGTTCTGAAGGGGCTTTCTGGAAAGGGGTCTTTTTAAAGAAAAATACACACACGTCTATCATTTTTTCCCCCTCAGAGTTAGAGGCTAAGAAGGCAAGAAAACCAATCCAATAATAATAAGCCGCCAAACATCTTCTATTTTTACAAGCCAAACAAATTCTGATAATTTCTTATCAGAATTAACAAGATGACGTGATTTTTTTTACTCCATTTCTGCTCATATATAACTAATTTGGAAACCACCTCCCATCCACCCACCCCCACACACTGTGGGATCCACCAACTTACAGGTGTGCTGCTTTAGTGGTGTCTAGCTCTACTGAGTTCATGCTTCAAACAAGTTTTAAGTCAAAATCTCGAATTAGCTCTATTTCACGAATTAAACCCACATTTGCCCAGGATGCCTTGTCAGTAACCCGGCCATCAGTTTTCTGAGACAAAAGGTAATCTGCCACCCAATATCTAACAGTGTGTGAGAAATGAAATGCTTATCCACAGCATTAACAATAGACGTGATGAGATGAAAGGGGGAGCATGTCCCAAATCTCGTTCTCTCATTTTTTTCAACAGCATCTAACATCAAACTGTGTTTTTCATTTAGAGCAATTTCTCCACTGCACACAGTTAAAAATTAAGATTCGGAAGAGGAATAAAAGCACATTCGGTTTTCCGAGGAAAAGCTGCCAACAGGACCTATGGTAGGGCAGCCATAGGCATTTCAGCAGCTCAAAGAAACAATGAGCACTGTGCCACAAAGTGCCCAACAAGCTTCCCCTCCAATCAGCCCTCCACACATTCTCTCCACCAACAGCAGACACTGGAGTGGGTGTGGACTGTGTGTCCTAGACCTTCTGTCTCCTGGGACATGCGGTGACAAAACCACTCACACCATCCTACACTGCCCCATCATGCACACAACACACATGTGGGTGCATACCCACTTTGGCTGGTATAATCACACATACTTAACTTTTTCTCAGATTTCACGTGCTATAGCTTCTGAAATGTATCCGTCTCTCATCCTCAATCCCCATGGATGCATGGAAAATATACAGCAAATGTAGCTTGTGATTCCACATGACTCGTGCCTGTCCCAAATCAGCCTCGTCTTTCCAAGGGTCACTTCTCAGGAAATAAAGGTTACTATTTTCCATTTATATCTTCTCGCTTACTAACTATTTTCTTGTGGTCTGAGACTCATGACAACCCTACAGGACAGGGCAGAACTGCCCCTGTGGGTTTCTGAGAGGAGGAGAAGCCTCCTCTTTCTCTGCAGAGGAACTGGTAGTTTTGAATTGCTGACCTTGTGGTTAGGCACCTAACGTCTAACCACTACACAGCCAGGGCTCCGAGAGCTCAGGACAGACCATTACAAAACAAGCTACAGTCAGACCAATATTGCTCCATCACCTTCGGCAGTGATTCCAGAGTTCTGATTTTAAAAGACAGAGACATAATTGAAGCAATATCTTCACTTCAGATTGATTATCAGGTGACCCTTGTCCGCATCTTCACTCAGCAATTTGAATTTTAATAAGAGCAAATGGAATAATTAGCATTTCAAAGTGTGCTTGATACACTGGGTGGGGGGGAGGCTTTTGCATATTGTTGACACATAAAAGTTATTGTATTGTGGGGGGAGGGGGGCAGATAGTAGAGAATATGGTGGCCATGTCTTCATTAGAATAACCTAAGGGACCGCTTGTACCAGGCGTAGAAATGGAGAGGTGAATATTGTGCTCTTTCAAGGTAGGATTTCATTTCTCAACTTTATTATTAAGTTTTAATGCCTTACTTTATTACTTGTTACTTTAATCTAGAAGAACAAAAGTTTAAGTACGTGGATTCCAACAGGATTTCTGGGCAGCAGTTAGGCTACCTTTGTTACAAGGAAGGACTTTTAATCGGGGCGCTAATCTTTTCAAAACTACACCGTTCATTGATTATTGCTACAGCAAACAGAAAGTAATGCACAAGAACCACGCATGGCAGGGAGGAAAAGAGTTTGAGAGATGCCAAAATGCACATTTAATTTCACTACAAACGAACTTGGGACACATTGCATATCATGTGACAGGAGATAAAATCCAGGGATCCTTTCAACCCCAGGACAGTCTACATCTTTTTACTGGCGTAAGACAGCAACGGAAGCTGCCAGCTGAGGAAAGATCTATTATAAAAAAGAAAATACTCAATTCTCCTTAGAGGAGAGCTTTCTGAAACAAACAAATCGGCAAGAACGTGATCCAGAGTTGCAAAAGTAACCATCAAAGGCCAGAGGAGATTTTTAAGGCAAAGTGCTTAATCTTTGATGAAGCAAAAAATTTAAGAGAGAAAGCAAAGAGAGCTGACGACACACACTAAGATCAGAGCTAAAACGGAAAGGCCACGTACCCCAATGATGGCGTTCAGCTCTGCCATGGTCACCTGCTTGGCCCGTTCCACAGCCTGCACCACTTGTTGCTGGTGCTATAAATGAAGATCAGAAACAGAATACAATTATTTGTTTTCTAGTCAGTCAAGAACAGCTTTTCCTAACATGTCCTCTGGCTTCAATTTCATGCAAAACTGATTTGAGGGAGTCTCTGTATTTCCAAATCATAGTCAAGGCTGGAGGAAGACTACATGTCTAGGAACATGTGGATCTAAAATGCTGAGAAAGAACTGGGTTTCCAACTGCAGTGAAGCACAATTGGGAGAAGCAGCTTACATATATGTATATATATGTCTTCCACTAATACCATCAAGCCAAGAAGCACAAGCCTGCCTCTCTGCCCTCTTTTCTCTTTGCCACCTACATAACACTTGTGTGAAAACAGCTTTGAGGACTTGTTTTTACATTTTCTCTGGTATCTGTTGGATACTTGGAAGGGCATGTTGAATTCAGTGTTCACATGTATTCTGGAAATCTTAGAAGTGTCCACATTGTTTGTCTTGAAGGGTTAGTGAATATTTAAAATATCACTCTTCAAAAAAGGTACAGCTCTCACTAGCAGGAAAGTTGAAGGATTTTCTTTAAAATGTAACAGAAAGACTAAAACCTACCAATTACTTTTCCTTTTGAAAAACCAGGATAGGCAGTATAGGAAGAATCCTATCCACGATGTAGTTCAAAAGAAACAACCACGATAATTATACAACTCTTCTTAATATGATTGAACTATCGAATCATATGATGTGAATTAGATGCCGCCCCCCCCCCAAAAAAAAACTGTTTAAAAGAGAGAAAGCAAGAACTGATGCCCATAACTTTTATAATGTTGGGAACAGTACATAACATAGAAATCTCGGTATAAAGGCTCTCACATGTGGGCACACACAGTGCTTATGGCCTTATGAGTATTCTTATTGTTGTAGTTAGGTGCAGTTGAATCTGTTCTGACTCCTAGCCACTCTTTGTGTAACAAAACAAAGCACTGCCCGTTCTGCACCTCCTCACTGTTGCAGCCACAGAAGCACTGATGAACTAGTGCTTACTCATTGGGCTGCAATCCGCAAAGTAAGCAGTTTGAAACTGAGAGACTACAGATCGAGAGGCCGCAGGCAGTGACAGAAAGGCGCCCGAAAGCCAGATGCACAGGGAGTGGCAGGATAAGTCGAAGGGTGATCTCAACAGCCTGGGACAGTCTCATCTTAAACCTGCAGGCATCAGACCCCTCAAAGCAAAAACAAACATAAAAACTCACTGCTGTGATGTCAGTGCTGACTCACAGGGACCCCCTATGGGTTTCCAAGAAGGTTCCTGTTTACAGAAGTAGAAAGCTCACTCTTTCTCCGTAGGGACCATGCCGACCACGCAGATGGCAGTCCAACGCATAACCACTATGCCACCAGGGCTCCTCTAAATACCAAAGTCATACCTAAGACCCTTTTTACTGGCCTTTGCAATACATACTTCCTTGTCCATGCCCAGGCAAGACCCAGCCCCAAGGGGAGAGCATGACTGGGTTTATGAATGGATCTGAGAAATAGGACCAGTCCCAGGATTGGTCTGTTCATAACCCAGAGATGCAGACAGGCCAAATACTCCACATCTAATAAAACACCCCCCTACATAGTTCATTCAGCGGCAACTCACTCAAGGACCCATCTACTGTTGTCAGGTGCTTCCCCTTACTTTCCAAATAAGCCTTGCTTTCTGCTTGCCGTTTTGTGGTCTATGAATCCATTCTTGGGTTTGCGAGACCAGAGTGCCAGAGACACATCAGAGCAGTTGCAACAGCCTGGCACCCAACAGTGGGACATTCAACAGAACGGTAACCCAATGGGCTCCAGCCCATGCTTTTGCCTTTGCCTTTGCCTTCTTTCAATTTCCCTCTGGAAGATGTAGGGTCTGCTTTGCAACCAGGAAGCAACCAGCAGCGACAGCTAGATCCAGGCTTACTCTGGAACCTTGGCAGACAGCCCTTTCCTGAGTCTTTTCTCCACCCTCCTTTTTAAATTCCCAGTCTGACTCCAAAGGCTGGGAGACACAAATAACCAGTGGCCCCAGGACCCCTGCGCCTCCTTCTGATTGAACGTATGGTGCGGAGCAAATGCTCCACTACAGTCCCGCCAGAGAAAGTGAGTTCCTGGGACTTGCAAATGAATCCTTTAGGACTCTACTCAGTCTCTCCCAATGCTTGTAGCCCTTCCTTCTTTCCATGATATATGGGGAACCCTCCTTGTTCAAGGCCAGATACAATCCCATTTCATGAGGGAACTATCCCCCAAATTGCCTTTAGTGCTCCAGGAATTACCTCCCAGAACTTCTCGAGACTTTCCAGAGTTAAGGTAGTGGAAGGTGCCCTCAGGGAAATAAGCAAACAGAGCAGATCCTAGGAGACCACACCTCTTCTTTTCAGAGGAATATCACATGATGTGACTTGCACCAGGGACTACTTATCATGCTGGGTCTTTGTTTAAGTACCACCCTTTAGCACATGGGCATTGTGGCAAATACAACAGAGGAGATTCTATGGTAAACAGGGAACCAGAAGCTCATAGATACCTTCCTTCCAAACAACCACAGGGGCCACAAAGCTCTCCCGCTACAAGTTTTATAGTTCGGATCCCTAATAATTATATTCTTATTAGGAGGCTCAATGGCACCTCCACAAAAGCTTTCATTGGATGACAGGCCAGACAGAGCTTCCAGCAGCCAACTTCTTCTCTTAATGGGCACAGGAGATGGGCCCATAAATCCCCAGGAAGTGTTTCGGGTATTAGAGTCCAAAAGACTGAGCAAGTATTGGGTTACTTCCATGCCAGTACAGCATGATGAATCTGGTAGAGCTGTGGTAGCCATGCACCACAGTTTCAAGTCCTGTCTGAAAGGGACACTCGATGGTCAGAACTCCTCATTCGCACTGCAGGGCACTGTGATGCTCTCCTCTCTTTCCTCTTAGGTGGGCACTTCTTTGTGGCCCCATCTGACAACACTCCTTTGGGCTGCATATTAAAAAATTAGTCCGTTTGATCCCCAAACCCTGATGAGAGGTGTTTTAGTTTTCTTTTGCAATAAAACTTGGCCCAAATATGAACTTTATGATGGACTGATGGAGAACAATGGCCCCTGAAGGGAGTATTAATCACAACCCCATCCTTCAGTTAGGATTGTTTTGCAAATGAGAGGGTATAGTCTGAAGTTCCCTATATACAAGCCTTTCCACCCCCCTCAGTGGTAATCAGAAGGTATGCAGAACTTGAAAGCCTTAGTAGAAGAAACTAAGATCAATTCCAAGCCCTCCACCCTCCCCCATGCCAACCAGAATATCCCAGTGCACCTGTGGTGAGTCCTTCCTGGTCCCCATTATCCGGGACCCAACCCCACCCCGAGTCTATCAGAGCTACTCAAATCCCTGAAAGCAAGGTCCCTTTTAGAAGCAAACAGGAGCTCATTAGAGCTCTATAGTGCCTTCTTTGGAAGGTAGACTCAGGAGACTTTGTCAGCAAAGACATGCGCCTTTGCAAATTAAGGTAGATCTGGGGAAGTTCTCTGATGACCCCAAAAGGCATGTAGACACTTGCCAGGGAGTAGGTGAGACTTTTGACCTTTCCTAGAGAGATGTAATGCTCCTGCTAGGCAAGACCTGGATTAATTCAGAGAAATCCAGTGTAAGCAGCAGCTCAAGGGGCGAAGGGGTGTCAAGGAAAAAGAAAAAAAAAGCAGCAGCTCAGACCTTTGAAAATGAGTGGTATATTTTAAACGCATGGGATGACAGACAGCTGAGGAAAAAGCCCCATTTCCTACTGGAAGTCAGGCTGTCCCCTGGGAAGACCCTGAGTGGGATCCTGACAAGCCTGGAGATTGGAATATCAGGCATTTCCACACCTGTATCCTAGGAGGCCTCAGAAGATTTCGGCAAAGCCCCTTAATTACTCTAAGCTTACCACCACTTCCCAAGAAAAAAGAGAAAATGCCAACACAGTTCTGGACGATTAAGAGAGGCTATGAGGAAGCACACCCCCATCTCCTCTGACTCACTTGAGGCCAGGTCCTATTAAAGGACAAATTTATCCCCCAGGCAAGCCCTGGACATAAGGAGGAAACTACAGGTGCTGGCACTTAGCCCCGATTTGGACACTGACAGCCTCCTAAAGATGGCCACCTTGGTCTTTCACAACAGAGACCAGCGGGAGAGGGAAGGAAAGATGGAGATAAGAGAAAGGCAGCATTTGCAATGGAGCTCCAACAGGCTAACCCAGGAGCTCCAGAGGGCTGACCTCAGGGGGCAGCTTCTGGAACTTGTTACTTATGTGGTCAGCAGGGCCACTGCCCAAGGAATTGCCACCAGTGAGTCAAGGGGCCTTCTAAGCCATGCTCCGCTCCCAGCACAGAGACCACTGGATGAAAGATTGCTCTGGTTAGTGCAGGTAGCCTAGTTGACTCCATCACTCCAACCGGCCCAAAAATATTGAAGGAGCCAGGGCAGACCTTCTTGGTATTTGCATGTTCCATTGCCCTCAGGGAGCCCTGTGTGTGCTTAACTGTCCAGGGCAAGAAGATTGCTTTTCTCATTGACAAGAGTGGCTCTCACTCTCAGTACTACTCCCCTGTCCTGTCCTTGACCTCTATCAAAAATTACACCTGAGTCCAGGGAGTGTCTGAGAGGCTTGACTAGATTTTTCTGAGCCTCTGGGCTGTGATTGGGGAGAAAGGGCAGTTTTTTTATGCATTCCTGATTATGCCAGAAAGCCCTACCCGCTTATTGGGGCAGGATTTATTATCCAAGTTCCATACAACCATTTATATGAATGTAGGCCCAGAGCCAATCCTTTGCTTGGTCCTAGTGGAGTAAGAAATCCACCCAGAGGTTTGGGCAATTCCATCAACAAATCAGGAAAGCCAAAGAATGCCCTGCCTGCTTGATTAAATTAAGTGACCTCACACTTCATTTCCCAACCAGAGGCAGTCCCACTCAGGCCAGAGGCAAAACAAGACCTAAAATGACTGAGAGCTTGGTACCTTGCAAGAGACCTTTTAATAC